GGATGACAAATGGAAGTATGATTAGAGCAGGGGAACTGGCCTCAGGTAGCTTCCCTATCACTGGGCAATAGAGTCATTTCCCCCACCCCTTTTCTGGCCTAATGACTGCCCCAATGTGTATAAATACTTAAACTACCATAGTCGAGGGTGTAGGCACCTCTATGCATTTGTGGATTCCACCCCTACTTTTTATATGCTCTAGACCTTCTCTCATCTCTCATTGCTCTGTCTCTAGTTTGCATACATATATTTCTTTTCAAACTATAGTCATCACCTAAATATTTATGTCGTTTTTGCAATTTTGAACTTTTAAAAATATTCGTTACAAGTGGATATTGCATTTCTCTTTTTAAAGTATTTTATTTTATTTTATTTTAGCTGTGTGTTACAATTTTCCTGGGTCTAGTTGTAGGTGCCATTTTCTTTGGGATAAAAGATGATTTTACCGGTGTGCAAAACAGGTTAGTCAACTCATGCAGTAAATATCAATAGGGCTGATAAAACCTATGTGTTATCACCATAATGAAAATTTGAGGTTAAAAATGAGCTTTTCTTGTCTTTTGTGAGCTACCACATTAAAGCAAATGCATACCTATCAGACATAAATTACAAAATAATCTCTAATCCTGCTGTGAGCAATATTTGGCTAGATCTCTCCAACTACGTAGAGTTCATTGCAGAGTTGAGTTGTAGGGGCCATGGCAGTCAGTGAAGGTAGGTCTGGGGCTTGCCGCTCCCAGCCCACTGACTCTAGGAGTTATCTCCACTGCGGCTCTGCAGAGCAGCCTCCCCCTTATCAACTAATCGTGTAGTTGATACAAATTGTATCGATTACATGATTAGCCAAATAACCACTCTTCAACATCCTTAACGTCTATTACTTTTTAAGTTTTAATGAGTTTTACTAAACAAGTTAAGGGCCTCAGTCCACTCTTAGGTTATGTCTACACTACAATTTTTTGCGGCAGAAAATATGCTAATGAGGGACTCATTAGCATGTGTCACGATGTCATTAGCATATTTTCTGCCGATTCTTTTTGTGCAAGGGGTTTTTGCCCAAAAAGGCTCACGAGGGACTCATTAGCATGAGTCGTGACATCATTCGCATATTTTCTGCTGATGCTTTTTGCACAAGGGGTTTTGGCGCCAAAAGAAGCTGTGTAGCCACTTCCGTTTTACACACACAAAAAAAAACCTTTTTGCACAAGATCCTTATACCTCCCGCAAAAAGAATCGGCAGAAAATATGCTAATGACATCGCAACACATGCTAATGAGTCCCTTATTAGCATATTTTCTGCCGCAAAAAATTGTAGTGTAGTGTAACCTAAGAGTGGACTGAGGCCGTTAACTTGTTTAGTAAAACTCATTAAAACTTAAAAAGTAATAGACGTTAAGGATGTTGAAGAGTGGTTATTTGGCAGAGCCGCAGTGGAGATAACTCCTAGAGTCAGCGTGAGCCATGACTGAACAGTCCCAGATGGTGTTGGCTCCAGACCGCGGTGGCTCTGCATTTTAAATGCAGTAAGTGCCACTAGGCTCTTACTACATTTAAAATGCAGAGCCGCAGTGCAGGTGGCTCCTGGAGCTGGTGTGAGCTGGGACCAAGCAGTCCTGGCACATGCTAGCTCTAGGACCGCTGAGCCTTACTACAGTTAAGGGCCCATTTCTTACTACATTTAAAATACAGAGGCACAGTGGTCCTGGGCTGACGTGAGCTGCGATTGCTCAGTCCTGGCTCGCACCAGATCCAGCAGCCCCTGTTCATGGCAGCCCAGGCTGGCCATGGGCTGGCCATGGGCTGGGGCTGCTCCCCACTGGGACCCCCAAAGACAGGGGCTGCTGCCAGAGCAGCATCTGCCCACAGCGAACCTTGGCCCACCGCAGACAGAGACTGCTTCGCAGCAGCCTTCCCTCCATTTCTTCTCCCCACTCCCTGCTATCTCTGGTAGAGTCAACTGAGGGCGGCAGGTGACTCCTCCCAGCTTTTAAGCTGACTTCCCCCAGCATCGGCTCCTGTTTTGCCACCCCCCTTGCTGCCTCTGATACAGGCAGCAAGGGGGGGAGGAAGCGAGTAGTCAAGTACTCGCCTCAACTATCCAATAAGTTTAGCCAGTGCTTGGTTCTGCCCTGAGGGCAGGGGACTGGACTCGATGACCCATTGAGGTCCCTTCCAGTTCTATGATTTGATGATTCTACTTGACTACTCGCTTACATCCCTAATACATGTATGAAGATAATTGGTTTAGCTGTTTGAATGAAAATGCTTTAAAACTTGTTTTCCCGGGTCTATTTTAGGGACACAATTATTCAGGATTCAGCTAATGAATCTCACTTAAGGATACTTTGCTTCTCTGGTGATGAGTTATTAAATGTTATGAATTAGTTAAGGAAACCAACACGACCAGAAAAGCATAATAAAATATACTTTGCTCATTTATATTTTGTAAAGAATTCTTAGTTATATAAATCCATCCTACAGTATCTATTTTTAAATCTCTGCTGAGAAATAAGGAAAGACAGGAAATTTGTGCATGAATTATCGAGTATGTGGAGAGAAAAGCACATAATGGTGAATGCCAGTAGTTTTTCAGAAGAGTTTAGACATGGTCTTTAATAAAAGTACTGAAAATATATGCAAAATAAATTAATAAAGAATGTATGTAGCTGATTTTGTAAGTATAAATATTTGTTTTACCATAGAGTTGGAGCAATGTTCTTCATGACTACCAATCAATGTTTCAGCAGTATTTCAGCTATTGAACTTTTTGTCGTGGAAAAAAAGATATTTATGTAAGTGAAGCTGGATGTAATGGGTTACATTTTCTGTTGTTAACAATGCTTATTCAGCTGCTAGTCTTTTTGTCACCTTATTAAATTGTCATCCACATATGACAATTTAGTTATTCATACTGATCAAATTATTCATTACAAGTTGTTTTCATTGCAAACATATTTTTAAATCCTGTTAGTAGATTGTTTGCAAATTAAATCATCACTTGTGTGGATAGTTTTGTGTGGATGGTTTTATCCATAAAACCTCATAGTTTAGATAGTCACATTGCAAGTTGTTTGCTTACTTCGGTTACCAGAATCATATGGAGTTGATAATAATTGGGTACCGGGAACTTTACAGGCTTTCTGTAAGTTGTGTGTTTTCATTATGCAAGCTGTACATTAAAGATTATGGGTAATACTGAGAGGTCTGTGTACACAATTGTGTACAACAATATGCATGCATATTTGCATTTGTAATGATCAAAATTGTAATTATGCATCTCATTGGCCATTTGTATGTGTAATTACAGTATGTGCAGAAATGCATTCTTATTTATCCATTTGGAATTGCATGCATGATTTATCAAAACCTGTCCATATGTGAAAATGGTTTGATTGAAAATAGTTTGATTGCTTTATAATTGATGCGGTATGAAATATGCTGTATATATTTCTGTGTTTTAGACATGAATATATCAGTGGGTACTACAGAGTGTCTTCATACTTCATCTCAAAGCTAATGGCTGATCTAATACCCATGAGGACTTTACCAAGCATCATCTTTACCTGTATAATTTATTTCATGTTAGGTAAGTGCCCTATCCACAAGTTGTATTAAAACTAAAAAGAAAATTGCTTCAGAACCAAGAGTACTGATGGTGTTATCTCGCCCTTTGGCTTGAAGCAATTTCATATACAAATTTACAGCTTGGTTCAATGGCTCTCTACACCCCCACTATACACATTGTTCAAACATCCCTATTAGCAGAATGCAAGAACAGAACAAATATCATCTCTAGTCTGAGTTTTTCCTTAAAGAGATGAGCCACCAGGGCACTATTAGGCTATACAGTAAGAATATTTACATGAAACAGAGGTGATTCAGAAACCCATGCCTAATCTACAGTTGCCAAGCACCCCCTGGGAGTTTTGGCATTCCAATACTCATGGGTGACCTGTCCCCACTGGAAACAAGTGAAATACTATTTGATGTGCATTGCTTATTGCTGATTTCAACTGCTATATGGCATGAGGTGTGAGCTGCTCCCTACGCAGTTTTTCTATGGTGATAACTTGAGCCACTAGTGAATCAAGAAGCTGCCTCTTTTACCTTGGCTTGGCTGAGACACATTACAGCTTTTTCTCCCTTCATGTAACTGAAAAATTCCATCTACAATCCCTCAACTGCTTCCACAAATACACATACCAATTCTGTTCTAGATCAATGATTCTCAAACTGAAAGCCATGGACCATTATTGGTCCGCGGCCGACTCCCAGGTGGTTTGTGGTTCAAGTTCAGCCCCCTCTTCCTCCTTCAGCAGAGAGCCCACGCTGGCTCTGTTCCTGCCCCTCCCCTGCTGGAGTGCCAGCACTGGCTTCCCTTGGGGGGAGGGAGGGAGTCCCAAGGTTCCCTGCTGGATCCATCTTGTGAGGAAGAAGTGGAGCCAGAAGCAACTCTACGCACTCCTTTCCCGGCTAGGGAAACAGAAGTGCACTGACACACAGCCTAGATGCTTTCCCCACTGCTCCCATTGGCCAGAATCTGGCCAATGGGAGCAGCAGGAGGCAGTGTCTGGGATCAGTGCAGTGTATGAAGGCAAGTAAGTGCCCCCTCATGTCCAGACTCCAACACTTGCAGCCCCCTCACACAACCCCATCTCGCTGAGACCCTGCACACCCAGCCTGCTCCTACATCCTCCTCCCTGGCCAGCCCCCCTTCCCCCAGCCTGCTCCTGCCACCTCCCCCCCTGGCCAGACACCCTACCACCAGCCTGCTCCTGTCCCCACCCTCCTGGCCAGATATCTACCTCCAGCACACTCCTGCCTCCTCCCTCCTTGCCAGACACCCTACATCCAGCCTGCTCCAGCATCCTCCTTTGCTCCTGCACCCTCCCCCTTGGCCAGACACCCTACCTCCAGCCCACTCTGCACTCCACCTCATATCCAGATCTCGCACCTTCACCCCCACCTGCACCCTAACTCCTACCCAGATCCTGCACCTTATCTCTCTCTGAAAGCTCTCTTCCACATACTGGACCCCTCATTGTTGTCCCAACCCCAGAGCTAGGGGGATCCACAAAATCCATTAACCCTGGAACCCCAGAAAAGTTAATCTGGCCTATGAAAAGCCCTTTCTTACTGATTAAATTAAACCATTCTCCCTAGCTTCAGCACTAGCAAAATGGCTTGGGTGTAATTATGTAATTAATGGAGTTTCCATTAGCAACCGGTGGTCTACGGAAAGGTCTGTATTGAGCCACGTGGGCCACGGGCCAAGAAGTTTGAGAACCACTGATTCTAGACAAATTCCCTTGTCTTTGTGCCTGTGAACTTCTCAGAACCAGCAGGGCATAGGAATTTGGGATACCGATCCTTGGGACTTGCAGATAGTAATCCAAAATGCATGGTTTGGTGGGGGGGGAGGCAGACATTTCTTGAATCAATCCTCTCACAAAATTTGTTCTAATAAGTGAGGTCAATTACATATGTTAGGATATACTGACAGCCTTCTTGTTCTGCTCCCTAAGGTTTGAAGCCAAGAGCAGATGCCTTCTTTATAATGATGTTTACTCTTATGATGGTATCCTACACAGCCACTTCTATGGCGCTAGCGATTGCAACAGGACAAGATGTGGTAGCTGTGGCTAATCTACTCATGACCATCACATTTGTTTTTATGATTGTGAGTAGCATAATTATGTTTTTATTTATTTAGACATAAGCCAAAGCAGCTGTGAAATTCAGAGTCAGATTGAGATCTGAATTTGAATTCTGCAAAAGAAAATCAAGAATCTGGAGCTTTTATGTTCCACTTTGTCCCAATACATACATTTAGGCCCTCCAATAGGGCAGGGCAAAGGGAGCAGCTGTCCCAGGATCCAGCGATTCAAAGGGGCCCAACGCTCCCAGCTGTTGCTGCCACTACTGTGGCGGTGTAGCCAGAGTCCCGGACGCTTTAATTTGCTGCCAAAGCCCCTCAGGACAGTGCTGGAAGAAGGGCCGACATCACAGTCCAAGTGGCTATGATGGCCTGCTACCCCAGCCCTGCTCCTTCTACCCAAGGCCCCGCCCCTTTCGGGAGCATGGAGCTGGTCCCTCCATCCCTCATCCAGGGGTCTAATGAGTCTGTCAGCTCACCTGCATACATTAACGAAAATCACAAAATTCAGTCTTGTTTCTGAACTTCTGCAGAAATGTGGGGTTATGGTGGATTTTGTATTTGATGTTGTAGTTAGGGTCAAGGTTTAGTGGTAAGAATCATGGGGAAGAAGAGGGGATGGATCATGCCAGAGGTAAGAGTGGGTGTGGTGTGCTGTATGATTTTCAATTAATGCATAGTTTCCTGTAGGACTGTTGCAACCAGCAAAATCTAGAGAGAACCTGAGCTGATCCATGGTGGGGGAGCAGAGAGGAGGCTTAGGCGTGATCTATACTATGCATTTAGGTAGAAGTTAACTACATTAGATTGATTTTCTAATCAGTGAGTTCACACTACTGTCACCTTCACAGGCTGTTAAAGTTGGTTTTGGTGGTACTCCTTTTCACGGGGAGTAACTAAATTGACTTTATAGTAGTGTACATGCAGCATTGTGAAAGTCGACTTTCTGGGCCTCTGAGAGGTGTACCACAGTGCACTGCTATGATGGCTCTGGCCAGGATTTGCGACTCTACAGTAATTCCTCACTATAGATATGTTTCAGAAAATGATCGTGTTAAGTGAAAACGTGTTATACGGGATCAATTTTCCCATTGAAAATAATGGAAAAGATGGGGGTTGCGTTTCAAGTGGTGGTGTCTGTTGGGACCGGGACATAAGGTTGGGGAAGAAAGGGGACTGGGTTATAGCAGGGAGGGGAGGTGTTTGGCTCTGGGGAAGGAAAGGGGAGGAGAGAAGAGGGGGATTTTGTGTTTGACATAATATTTTATTTAAAAATGAAGCCTGGCCAATTGGGGCGAATCCCCATCTGGCCGCAGCATCATAACACGCCTGCACCCCCCCAGACTCCAAACCTGAGCCAATCATACACTGGAACCCCCTGTCCTGAGCCTCTCACATCCCCAAGCTCCTGCACCCCCACATCCCCAGTCTTCTGCCACAACACTCCTGTACCATCCGCACACTGCAAATCTGTGTCCTGAGCCCATCATACTCCCAGCCTCCCTGCACTGAGCCCTTCATGAACCCAGCCCAAACTCTTGCACTTTCACAGCCACAAGCCTGCAGCTTTCTCAGCACCCCAACCCTCCCCCTGACCTCAACACTCTCCATCCTGGAGCCCCCTCCCTGAGCCAGCATCCTCTTCTCTACTCCTCCTGCACCCAAATTCCCTCCCAGAGTTTGTACCTCTCACCCCTTCCCAGTGCTTTTTTGTGATGGTATGCCCCGGGACGGTGTACCGGCACCTATTTTCTCCCGACGTGCGGAGAAATTTTTTTTTTTTTTGCTCAACAGCTCTTTCCTCCACCCCCTGGTACATGGCTCTTCACACTCTATCCACCCCTATTTTGGCTCTTCGTCTCTAGCTGGTTGGCCACCCCTGTATTAGGGGAATGGAGGAACATGCTCCTTGAGGAGATACATGCTGAATGTGAGTACAGGCGAGCATTCAGGGACTGGAAACTAAGAAACCAGAAGAGACTGTCATTCATGGTGAATGTGATGGACCACATGGTGGCTTTCCAGGATGTGTTCCTGCAGAGGCCCCTCTCCAGCCTTTGCAGAGTAACATTCCCTCATTACCGGGATCCATAGACTTCTCTCCTGGGGCCCTAGAACACTTGTGTATGTTTGTGTGTGAAGTCAAGGGCATCCTCCATGCTGTATCGCCAGAGCAAAAGGCTTTCCTTCCCACATCACTGATTCCTCCCCCGCCCACTCCCAACCTGAACTCCTTTTCTTTTAATTTGTGTTTCCTAAATAAAATCACATGATGTCTGAAACAGCAGTCTCTTTATTGCTTGTTTTGAGGATGGAGGAGAACAGAAGAAGCAAGCATAGTGAAAGCTGGGGCATATTGTTAAGTGCAACAGGCATGACTCTCAAATTTGACCATTCATAAAGCCATCTTTCAATGTATCTCTGAATCATTGCCCCTCACTGAGCTTTCCTTATTGCCCTGGTGTGTGGCTGCTCATAATGTGTGGGTAGGTACTCTGCCTTAAGACTTCACCCTGTACCATAAACCTTCCCCTTGCCCTCACAAATATTATGGACATAACATGAGCACACAACAGACTGCCACCACGATAGGAATGTTATTTTGCTGAGGTCTAACCCAGTCAGTAAACTACAGAACCTTCCCTTTAAACATCCAGAAGTATGTTCTACCACCATTTTGCACCAGCTCAGCCTGAAGTTGACCTACTCCTTATTGTGGTCCAGGCTGTACCCATGTACAGCTTGCAGCTTTGTGGACAGACAGGAGTTCCTAAAGATGCACATATCATGCACCTTTCCAAACCATTCCATGCTGATGTCAGTGAATTGGTCGTTGTAATCCACCAGTGCCTGCAGCACCATCGAAAAGTACCCTTTACAGTTTATGTGCTCCTTGGCAAGGTGATCAGGGGCTAAGATAGGAATATATGTTCTGTCTGTCACCCCACGACAGTTGGGGAACACCAGCTCAGCAAAGCCTTCCATTATGTCCTCCACATTTCCAAGGGTCACTACTCTATGCATCAGGAGGGGATTGATTGTCTTGGCCATTTAGATCACTACATCTCCCACTGTAGATTTTCCCAAACTGATTCCCATCTAACCAGTAGGGGTATGTCTACACTACCACCCTAGTTCGAACTAGGGTGGTTAATGTAGGCAACCGAAGTTGCAAATGAAGCCCGGGATTTAAATATCCCGGGCTTCATTTGCATCTTGCTGGGTGCCGCCATTTTTAAAGCCCCGGTAGTTCGGACTCCATGCCGCGTGTAGCCCCGGGCACGGAGTCCGAACTACCGGGGCTTTAAAAATGGCGGCACCCAGCAAGATGCAAATGAAGCCCGGGATTTAAATATCCCGGGCTTCATTTGCATCTTGCTGGGTGCCGCCATTTTTAAAGCCCCGGTAGTTCGGACTCCATGCCGCGTGTAGCCCCGGGCACGGAGTCCGAACTACCGGGGCTTTAAAAATGGCGGCACCCAGCAAGATGCAAATGAAGCCCGGGATTTAAATATCCCGGGCTTCATTTGCAACTTCGGTTGCCTACATTAACCACCCTAGTTCGAACTAGGGTGGTAGTGTAGACATACCCTAGCTGTCTGAGGGCAATTGCCACACACTTCTCCATTGTCAGAATGGGTCTCATTCTGGTTTACACTAGGACTTTACACCAAATATAGCCCTCCACGGTTGATTAGCTATGTAATTCATCCACACTACTAAGCCTGTGTGCCATGTTTAGGGAGCACTGAGGTAGAATCCTGTAGTACTAGTTTTCATGAGGAGTAATGCTATTCCTGACCATGTATAGCCAAAGCTAGGCTAGTGTAGATGCTGCGCTGCCAGAAATCCAACCCAATTGGCCTCTGGGAAGCCTCACGTAGCTGCTGACTACTTTGGCCATACCTTGTGTCTCTGGTACTCTGTCACTGAGCTCAAAAAGCCCCTGGAACTGTAGAATGGCCTGTCCCATCTGGCCAGCTTTGCGAGCCCTTTGTGAGCGAACAGCACACCGCGGGACATGTGGACATGAGTTCCACCACCAATCTGTCTGACACTGCAACGACAGTGAGTTCTTGTGCTCCCACAACCTCCACTTCCCAGGGGCACAGAAAAACTCCAGCCTGGAGTGGTCAGGAGATCCTGGACTTCATCAAGGTGTAGGAGGATGAAGCCATCCTCACAGAGCTCAGGACCAAAAAACAGAGTGCCTATATCTATGGCAGGATTGCAGCCAGCCTCACAGTGAAAGGCCATGCCAGGACCTTTGAGCAGTGCATTGTGAAAATCAAGGAACTGTGGCAGTCCTATCAGAAGGCCAAGGTGTGGTGCAGATGCTCTGGGGTGGCACCTCACACCTGCTGCTTCTGCAACCAGCTGGATGCCATTCTGGAAGGGGGGCAGACAGCTCCCCCACCTTGTTCATCGAGTTGGGACAAGACAAGCCTGGTGTCAGCCTGCAGGAAAGCAGGGTGGCAGAGGGCCACGAGTAGTAGGAGAAAGAGGCTAGCTAGATGAAAATGTCCGAGAGCCAGGAGCTGCTCTTGACGTTGGAGCCAGTCCACTTCTCCCAGAACATCTCCCAAGCCATTGATGACCCTGTAGAGGGCAGTTAAAGTGAGTTCTTTAACTGTCTTACTACAAGCAGGATCAGACAATAGGGTGGGTGTGTGTGGCACTCTCTCTCTCTCTCTGCCTGCTCAGCGTGGGGGGTGTGGAATAGCTCTTTCATGTGTCTGCAGATGGAGCACCAGTCTTGAGTTTTGAGCTCCATGAAGCTCTCACATAAGGAATACCTCGATCCTTCTCACAAAGTTCCTGGCGAGGCTAGCCTTCTACTGTCCTCCGCAGTAAGACACTTCCTCACTCCAAGCCACAAGTAAACAGTCTAGTGTCATGGAACCACACAGCACTGCAGCATAAAAACCAAGTTCAGGCCACATTTGCTCCTGATCAATTGCGGTGATGTGGAAAAGACTGATATCTTGCTTGGGAACCTGGAGGGATGAGGAGGAAGAGGGGAACCTATTAGCACTTTCTCCAGCAAACCTTGAGCGCTGCTCACACATCCCCCCTTCTCCCACAGTCAGGAAAAGAAGGATTCTCTCCCGCAAGCTATGAGTGCCTCTCACATATTCTCCCCTCCCCCTATGAGCAGGAAAAGAAGCACTCTCTCCAGCAAGTTGCAATGCCAGACCTGGCGTGTGTCAGACACAGCTGGAAGCCGAACCACTCCTATCCCGCTCCCACCTACAGGCTCGTGGCATGGTTGGGAAAGTTGCACTATCTGAGAAGCTGCATGTGTTGGACACACCAGGAAGCCATCCTCTGCTGCCACCCCCTTTCCGCCTGCAGGTTCGTGGTCTGGCTGTCCCATTACCATGGCTGCCTGCCTCCAGACCAAGTGTGTCCCACTGCTCCCTTGAGACATCTGAGCATCTGCTGTAAAGTGCCCCTTTTAAAGCAAAAATGTGGTCTTGCATGAAGCATATCACAATTATCTGAACTGAGACCGTCAGTGTAGGCTAAGGGATTGGGTAGGCTTCACACAAAGTGTCTATTGTGATGTCTACCCTTGTAACTTTTCTTTACAACTGGGACAGCTGCCATCTCGGCGCATCCTAAACCTCCCACTGCAGCTGCCTGCCTGGCTCACATCAGCAGGCAAAAACACACCAGGAACAACATGTTCAGGGCGCAAATGTATTGCTTGCACTCTCTCATGTAGGAGATCCCGGCAGAGTGGCAGGACTGGGTCACTGAGCGGAAGGAGAGGAGGGCCGAGCAGCAGGAGAGGAAGGCCACCAGGGAGCAGCTCACATGCTAGCTTGAGACAATGTTCCCCACCCTGACATCTTTGATGGAGTGAATGACGACCTGCCTAGAACAGGCCACTGACCAGCCCTCCACCCATCCCTTGGGTTCCACTGCCAAGGTCAGAAGGGGCTGCCGAGGCCCCAGGACACGGGGGAAACCTCAAGGGCAGCCGGAACCTCCAGGTCATCTGGAGGCAAGACGGCAGTCCCACTCCCGTTCCTGAGCCCCTCTCCCCTCTTCTAGTTCCCAATCCATTCCATTTCCTGTAGTTTTTCCCCAAATAAATACTCCTGTCTTTGAACAACAGTCTTTTTATTGCTTGAACTGCAGGAGCAAGGTTGGGTAGGGACAGCATGGCAAAGGAGGGGAAGAGTGAGGGATGAAAGGCAAACACAGGGAATGCCGGGACACCTTGTGGAGAGCCACCAGGGTAAGTCTCAACCCTGGCCTTGCATAAAACTGTCCTTCAAGGTGTCCCTGATTAGCACTGCCCTTGCTGTGCTCTCCTTATGGCACTAGTGTTCGACTGCTCAAACTCTCAGGGCAGCCTCAGCCTCCTATACCTGCCCTTTAAACATCTGAATGCACATTCCACCACCTTCTGCACCTGCTCGGCCTGTTGTTGAACTCCTCCTTGCTGGCGTCCAGGCAGACTGTGTAGGGCTTCATGAGCCAGGGGAGCAAGGAGTAGGCTGGATTGCCCAGGATCACTATGAACATGTCCAACTCTCTGACTATGATGGTCTGGTCTGAGAAAAAAGTTCCAGCATGCATCTTTCGGAAGAGGCAGAAGTTCTGAAAAATGCGCGCCTCATGGGATTTTCCTGATCTCCCACATTGATGTCAGTGAAGCATCCCTTGAGATCTGTGAACGCCTTCAGCAAGTTCTCCTTGATGTACTCTGAGGCACGGTGGTCAGGGGCCAGGATGGGGATGTGCGTTCCATCTATGGCATCTCTGCAGTTAGGGAAGCCCATGGCAGCAAAGCCCTCCATGATGTTGTCCACGTTCCCCAGAATCACATCCCCATAGCAGGATGTTATTGATGGCCTTGGCTACTTGTATAAGAACAGACCCGACTGTTGATTTCTGCACCCCAAACTGGTTCCAACTGAGTGATAATTGTCTGGTGTAGCAAGCATCCAAAGGGCAATGACCATGCACTTTTGTAAGGTCAGAGCGGGTCTTGTGCAGGTATCCTGTTGTCTAAGAGCAGGGGTGAGCCATTTGCAGTGCTTCAGGGGATGTGGAGGTTCTTCAGCCACTTCTTATCATCCCATCCCTGCATACGATGAGGCATTCCCACCAGTCTGAGCTTGTCTCCTAATGCCAAAAGCAGTGTTCCACTGTATCCAAGGGAGTGAGTGGCAGCCAGAGGAGCATGAGCACCAGGACTTGCCTGAGCAGGGTTTCTGGGCCACGCTGAGGTTTGTTGTTGTCCTACTCTTCCTTCTCTTCCTGGTGGGTGCATGTAAAAAGAATTACAGAGTTCTAGCCAAGCAGCACGGTAAGCAACATTTAATGGTGTAAAGTTAACAGGTGCTTAACATATTTAACCCACTCCCCTTTTAATATTCTTGAGAGTCTGCAATACATTTCAGGATCTCAAAGTGTTGAGTATTTAGGCTCATGCTGCAGTTGAGGAAACTGAGGCTGTGGCGGTGAATTCAGTGACCATTGTGGCATGATGGGAAATATAAACCAAGACTCCTGACTCCCAAGCCTCTGCTTTAGGCCCGAAGCAATGATGGTTATCTCCAAAACTGAACGGCTACGTCTACATTGGCCCCTTTTCCGGAAGGGGCATGTAAATTTCACTAGTCGTCGTAGGGAAATCCGCGGGGGATTTAAATATCCCCCGTGGCATTTAAATAAAAATGTCCGCCGCTTTTTTCCGGCTTTTAAAAAAGCCGGAAAAGAGCGTCTACACTGGCCCCGATCCTCCGGAAAAAGTGCCCTTTTCCGGAGGGTCTTATTCCTACTTCGAAGTAGGCTTTTAAAAAAGCCGGAAAAAAGCGGCGGACATTTTTATTTAAATGCCGCGGGGGATATTTAAATCCCCCGCGGATTTCCCTACGACGACTGGTGAAATTTACATGCCCCTTCCGGAAAAGGGGCCAGTGTAGACGAGCCCCATGTGGGGTGCTCTCCAAGTACTGTGCCATGAAACAGCACAAGAGACATAAGCATGGCAATGCTTTCCAGCACCTCAGGCTCCATGCTCGTAGTGCTGTGGTGTCTGCACAAGTAACCAGGGCACAAAAAGGCAAGTGCACACCTTGGCTCCTTTATGCCTTCTGGGACACAGCTGACATGAGCCCCTGTAAGCAGTAGGGATATAATAGTGTAGTCAATTAACCAATTAATTGATAAGCAAAAGCGTATAGGTTAATGCTACAGACTACAAGCATTTCCCTCCTCCCGCCTTGCCAGTAACTTTTTTAGCAGGCTGGCCAGCAGCCCGGCTCAGTCCTGGCTTCTGATGGATCTGCCTCTTTATCAGAGGCAGCAGCACAAGGCGACAAGCAGCTGGTCCGGAGGGGGAGCTTTTTTTAAACTCCAGGCAGGTTGGCAGGGTACTCCTCAGGGATGAAACCAGAGTGGACTGGCTACTGGTCCTGCCCCAAGAAACTATAGAACAGTTGACTAACCAATAAGAATTGATGAGGTTACTCAACGATTCAATTAACCGATATTTAACATCCCTAATAAGCAACCACTCTCAATTTTTTGACTCAGTGAACACCGAAAGCATAGGTCGGACTGCCAAGCTCTCCACGGTGCCTCCTTGCTCTCTGAATTGCCTGTAGGGTCCATAAATATTGACGTACTATCTCGGACAACATTCGATTTTTGCCCATATTGGGGACAGGGCCTTGCACTTTCTCAACATTGGGTGCCCAGAAATCGCCCAGAATAGATGTGGTCTTCTCTCATAGGGTATGTCTACACTAGCCAACCTAGTTCAAACTAGGATGGCTAGTGTAGTCATTCAAACTTGGAAATGAAGCCCGGGATTAAAATATCCCGGGCTTTATTTGCATGTTCCCGGGCGCCGCCATTTTTAAATGCCCGGTAGTTCGAACTCCCTGCCCGTGGCTACACGTGGCACGGGCTAGGTAGTTCGAATTAAAGCTCCTAATTCGAACTACCGTTACTCCTCCTGCAAGGAGGAGTAATGGTAGTTCGAATTAGGAGCTTTAATTCCAACTACCTAGCACACGCCGCATGTAGCCGTGGGCAGGGAGTTCGAACTACCGGGCATTTAAAAATGGCGGCGCCCGGGAACATGCAAATAAAGGCCGGGATATTTAAATCCTGGTCTTCATTTGAAAGTTTGAATGACTACACTAGCCATCCTAGTTTGAACTAGGGTGGCAGTGTAGACATATCCATAGTGTAGACATGCCCTAGCAAACTAGAATTTGACATTATAGATCAGACAAAAGAGGTATATGTGGGCTGCAATGTAGTGTGGATAAGAGAATATCTAGCTTTCCACCTAGGGAAACACAGCGTCAGACAGTGATATCAGGACCATTTGGGAAAATTCTTCCTTGATACACTCAGTATGGCTCTTCAAAAGTGTCTGTTTGCCTTGTTTTTGTCCAGTTGACATAAAGAAGCAAAGGCAGTGAGGTTGGAAAATAGAAAATACAATTTCATATTTAAAAACCATATCTTAGCAAAACCCTGATTTGAGGTTCTAAAGTAAACCAGCATAACCAATCTCTGTAGGAGTTATTTTTGGTCTGACTGGAGGACATAAACCTCTTATTATTCCCCAGTGTAATATGGTTCAGACTTCTGTAAAACACATAGATCTAATGGGAGTTACTTGTGCACATTTGGTTAGTAATAGTGATTTGCATGGAGAACAGTTCCTGTGAAATGAAATTTAGATTTTTTTTATTATGTCTTTACTGTCTACAGATTTTCTCCGGGTTGTTGGTAAATCTCACGAGCATCATGTCTTGGCTCTCCTGGTTGCAATATTTCAGCATTCCTCGATATGCCATGACAGTAAGTGCTATGTTTTCATGTGCATTGGGTTTAGAAGCATTCATGAAAAGGGATCATCTACATCTGATGGGAAAAATGAATCCAAGTTCCATTGATTAGTGAGCAAAGGGCAAGCTGTTAAAACATATTGAAATTAAAACTTGACATGGCACACTTTAGTCAAAAGGCATGAGGGGGTTACAGATACAACAGCTAAAAGTGATTACTGTATAGGAGTCGGTGTCTCCTATCTGCAGACAGTTCAAATGTGCGGAGATGTGTGGGTATTTAAATAACTATATCTCAGTTATAACTATATTGGGCTATAGTTTGCAAAAACATTATATAAGATGAAACAGTACTGTATTATTTAAAAACAAGAGAGATTTGCTGTTCTTCACAAAGTTGCTTTAGTCACACAAAATATTTATCTAAAAAAAACCCTGAAAGTGAATAGGTGGAATTATATGAGCATTTTCAGGAGGTGGACTTGATAAGAGTTGGATCTTTTCCATCTCTAACTCCAATAATATTATTTTTAGGCAGCTAAGTTAGTAATGCAGTTATCATGGAAAATAGAGTCAATCGGAGCCTGGGGGTAGGGGAGTACGTGAAGCCTCCTCCCGCCCTGCCAGGAGCGTGCTGCACGCCCTCCTTTCAGGGCAGGGGTAGGACGGAGAAAACTTCATGCGCTTCCCCCCTGCCCTCAGGCACTATTTGGCCTGGGGGCAGGGCAGTGGCAGGGCCTCCATGGGCCGGATCAACCCGCTTGGCGGCCTGCGAAGGCCCTTTTGCCCACCCTTGCTTTTGAGAGTGCTGGGATAGACAGCTGCTGTATATGGGGTGCTGAATAAGCTATATTCTTATATCATGTATTCAACTATACTTTTACAATCAAAATAAGCTATGCCATTATATTAGAAAAGGTGGAATTATCTGAGATCATAAGCCAGGCCTGGGCAAAATATGGAATATTCACAATCACTTTAAATAGCTATTCAGTTATTGTTTTCTTCTTTTATCTTAAAAGGCTTTGCAAATTAATGAATTTACTGATCTGAAATTTTGCAATGATAGCACTAATACAAGTCCGACGGATATGAACTGCACACAACTTAGCCAACCGTAAGTATATGTTTTGCATTAAAATAAATCCCACTACAAGGCATCCACAAGATTTCAAGAGTTTTTTGAATGTTAGAGAATTGGAGGTGCATTCACTACCTACAGTAGGATTCTTTACAGTAATATTTCTTTAAGAATAAGAAAAAAGCATTTGGGTTTAGGGTTTGTTTATTTATTTATTTATTTGGCATTGTGTGTATTGCGATCACATGCTGCAAAGGCCATTTAAAAAAAAGAAACAGTAAAGGTATTGTAGTGCAGTAGAGCTTCGGAAGGGGCTCCTCCCCCTCTGGGTCAGTGGGCAACCACTCTGCCCCACTACACTCAGCTTAGTCTCTTCCGGGAATTAGCTGTGGTTTTTCAGCTCTGGGACAGTCCACAGTCTCAGATAGCCGTCAGTGGCAAACAGTTCTCCGGCCAACCCTGATTCAGGGCGGGGCAGCAGGCAAATAAACAGTTCAGAACCCAGGCCTTTATTCAGGGTGTCACAGCAAACAAACAGTTCTGAGCCCAGTCACTTATTCAGGGAGGGGCGGCAAACAAACAAATAAACAGTTCTCAAGTCCTAGTCGCTACAAATCCAGGTAGGCCCCCTTGCTCAGGCAGGGATCTGGCAGGTTCAGGTTGCTGTTCAGGAACAGCGGAGGGGGGAAACTGCCACCCAAGAGTTGGGTGGCAGGGGGGACACAGGCCCACCCACTCCACTGTGTTCCAGCCTAGGGCCCTAGTAGCAGCAGAGCAGTCTGCTGCTGGGTCAGTGGAGATTTGTACTGCAACACACTGACCTGGTTCTGGCCCAGCCAAACAGTGGTCGACTACCCCAGGGCTCTTTTCACACTCTGCCTCGGGCTGTACCTGGGCCCTGTAAAGGTCCTTAGGGCTCCATCGCTTTGGAACCTCTGGCCAGGTAAGCAGTCCTTCTAGGCAGTCACCCAGTTGTGGGCCCAGCGGCCTAGGCCAGTTTTTGGCTTCCCCTGGGTTCAGCTCCTCATTTGGGCACATAGGGTAGGCTTCCAGCTCCTTCTGCCATTGGGCCCTAACTGGCCTCTCTGGCCAGCCTTTTATATTCCTGGCCCCGTGTCATGGCTTCCGGTCAGGAGGGTTGCAGGGCCAGGTTCTGCCCTCCAATGCTCTGGGAGAAGCTTCTACCCCTCGGGGTCAGTGTGCGGCCATTCCACCCCACTACAGATATGCATTGCAGTATTGATAAGTCTTTGTGATTTTGCATTCATCATGTCTATTAAAAAAACCTACATAAAACAGCGTATCAGGCAACCTTGCAATATCTACTCACCCACTCACCTGGTAAGCTCACTGCTACTAAACTATTAATCATACTACGTGAAAAATGAAAGTACATATTGAAAAGAATAGGTTGGGTACTTATATAGTTCATCTCACACTCTTTAATGTAGTTATCCTCACAACAACATTGCTGGGGAAAGGATGTGCAGATTGGGGAGGCACAGTGGGTATGCTATGAGTGCAGGACTTGAAGACCTCTTGAGGCCCTTTCCAGTTCTAATAGTCTATTTTTACATTGCATCTGGAAACAAGGCTCTCAACAAGTGCATCTTGTGATAGCATGCTAAAATTAGTTGGGTACACATTTGCACCTTGGGTTCCTAAGCATAGGGCAGGAGGCTTGAAAGCCCCAAAGTGTCAAAGCAAGGTCTACATGACTACACGGCTAGTTTTAGAAGATTAGCGCAAGCCCTGTTAACACAAGTTTGTGGATCCAGATTAAAGGGCTCATTCGCAGATGGAGTGTAGACATATTCAGTGAGACTAAGGCCTAGTCTACAGTAGGAAATTAGGTCGGTATAACACTGTCACTTAGAGATGTGTGAAATCCACCATGAGTGAAGCAGTTAAACCAGCCTAGCCCTTGGTGTAGGCAGTTCTAGGTTGACACGAGAATTGATTTAGGTGCAGGATGTGGGGTACTTAAGCTGACAGGAAAACCTTCACTACTATAGTGTCTTCACTTAAACACTACCATAGTGCAGTCACATTCATGCCGTATTTTAAATGTAGACATGCCCTCAAGCAAATAAAAGGTCTATGGGTACGTCTACACTGCAAGCTTCTTTCAGAATAAGCTTTTCCGGAAGAGGTCTTCTGGAAAAGCTTATTTCGAAATAGCACATCCACACACAAAAAGCTCAATGAAATAGCAGTGTGCTATTTCGAAAGATAGTGTCCACACTGATTGGATTCTATCTCGTATTTAAGGCCTCCTGGAACCAGTTCAGGCAGGGCATTAGGTCAGCAGTTGCTTCCGGGTGCTGCTGCCTGAGGCTACCTGAGACGTGCTTAAAGGGCCCCCTTGGACAGCTGTTTCTCAGGTTCTTCTGCTTGCTTGCCTACCTCTCTGAGGGACAGAAAAGCATTCCTCTGTGTGCTCTGGTTTCCCTTCCTTTGGACACTGCAGTACTCCTTGGCATAGAGCTGGAGCTGCCTGTGGGCATGTGATGGCTGCACAGTTTCTGCAGGCTGTCTTCATGGTCCTGCATGAGCTCAACTCCAAGCTCATCTTTGAGAACCTCTGCCTGTGGGCAGGAGCAATGCTCTTGCAACTGCACCCTACAGTGGAGAGATGCTTCTGGAGGCTGGACACCAGTTCTGACTGGTGGGACTAGCTGGTGATGGAGCGGTGGGATGACCAGCAGGAGCTCCACAAGTTCCGAATGAGGAAGGAGACATTCATGGAGCTGTGTGCCTGGCTCACCCCTGCCCTCTGATAATGGGACACCCAGATGTGATCCACCATCCCCTTGGAGAAGCAGATCGCCACTACCGTCTGGAAGCTCGCAATACCAGACCGTTACTGGTCTTCCATGGGCAACCAGTTCAGCATGGGAAATTTGACTGTCAGGACCCTCCTCATGGAGGTAAGGCACTGTCGGGCTGCAGTCCCTGGAAGGGGGGGAAGTACTAGAAAAAGGGACCCTCGGAAAAGGGGGGGGTTGAGGTGCGGGGAGTCACCTGGGGTTGGGGGAGAAAGTCCCATCCATAGGGGGTTCTGCACTCCCAGCCTCACATAGCCTTGTGGGGAGGGGGGAGCAGGATGAAGGGCAAGCTTAATAGGGGCTGGCTGTTGGGGTTTTTTTGGGGGGAAGGGGAGGCTTGGGGACCTCCAAAGGGCTCAGGTACCCCCTTTGATTCTCTGTTTTGTTTCTTTGTTTGTCTCCTTCTGCAGGTGGTGAGGGCCATAGACACCATCCTGCTGCACAGGGTCATCCGCTTGGGAGACCTGGACCCCATCATGGCTGGATTTGCCACTCTGGGCTTCCTCAAATATGGGGGGGGTTATATATGGAACCCACATCCCCATCTGTGCCCCTGATCACCTGGCCACGCAGTATATAAACCACAGGGATACTTTTATATGGTCCTGCAGGCCTTGGTTGACCATCATGGACATTTCACTTTGATTCTCTGTTTTGTTTCTTTGTTTGTCTCCTTCTGCAGGTGGTGAGGGCCATAGACACCATCCTGCTGCACAGGGTCATCCGCTTGGGAGACCTGGACCCCATCATGGCTGGATTTGCCACTCTGGGCTTCCTCAAATATGGGGGGGGTTATATATGGAACCCACATCCCCATCTGTGCCCCTGATCACCTGGCCACGCAGTATATAAACCACAGGGATACTTTTATATGGTCCTGCAGGCCTTGGTTGACCATCATGGACATTTCACAGACATTTTCATCAGCTGGTCAGGGAAGGTGCACAGCGCCCGCATATTCCACAACTCCAGATTCTACCAGAAGCTGGAGGCTGACACATTCTTCCCCAGTGCAACATCATGGTCGGGGATGTTGAGATGCCACTGTGCATTGCAGGGGACGCGGCCTACCCCTTCATGCCATGGCTAATGAAACCATATATTGGCCACCTGAACCAGATTCAATAGCTACCTGGGAAGGGCCCGCATGCAGTCTGAATACACCTTCGGGTACCTGAAGGTGAGGTTCAGGTGCCTCCTGACTTGCCTCGATGTGTGGGAGCACAACATCCCCCAGGTGATCTGTGTTCTGTTCAACAGACATTTTCATCAGCTGGTCAGGGAAGGTGCACAGCGCCCGCATATTCCACAACTCCAGATTCTACCAGAAGCTGGAGGCTGACACATTCTTCCCCAGTGCAACATCATGGTCGGGGATGTTGAGATGCCACTGTGCATTGCAGGGGACGCGGCCTACCCCTTCATGCCATGGCTAATGAAACCATATATTGGCCACCTGAACCAGATTCAATAGCTACCTGGGAAGGGCCCGCATGCAGTCTGAATACACCTTCGGGTACCTGAAGGTGAGGTTCAGGTGCCTCCTGACTTGCCTCGATGTGTGGGAGCACAACATCCCCCAGGTGATCTGTGTTCTGTTCACCACAACATTGTGGAGAGGAAGGGGGAGGCTTTTCATTTGGGCTGGAAGGGATGGGCTTTCGAGCAGCTGCACACAGCTGCCATCTTCCAGGCCCATCAGATGGGGGGTGCACATCCTGAGGGAAGGGTTTCTCTCAAGGACCCCAGTAACTCTCCCAAGGGCTTCCCTGCTAGGTAAGTTTGAATGACTACACTAGCCATCCTAGTTTGAACTAGGGTGGCAGTGTAGACATATCCATAGTGTAGACATGCCCTAGCAAACTAGAATTTGACATTATATTAATAGATCAGACAAAAGAGGTATATGTGGGCTGCAATGTAGTGTGGATAAGAGAATATCTAGCTTTCCACCTAGGGAAACACAGCGTCAGACAGTGATATCAGGACCATTTGGGAAAATTCTTCCTTGATACACTCAGTATGGCTCTTCAAAAGTGTCTGTTTGCCTTGTTTTTGTCCAGTTGACATAAAGAAGCAAAGGCAGTGAGGTTGGAAAATAGAAAATACAATTTCATATTTAAAAACCATATCTTAGCAAAACCCTGATTTGAGGTTCTAAAGTAAACCAGCATAACCAATCTCTGTAGGAGTTATTTTTGGTCTGACTGGAGGACATAAACCTCTTATTATTCCCCAGTGTAATATGGTTCAGACTTCTGTAAAACACATAGATCTAATGGGAGTTACTTGTGCACATTTGGTTAGTAATAGTGATTTGCATGGAGAACAGTTCCTGTGAAATGAAATTTAGATTTTTTTTATTATGTCTTTACTGTCTACAGATTTTCTCCGGGTTGTTGGTAAATCTCACGAGCATCATGTCTTGGCTCTCCTGGTTGCAATATTTCAGCATTCCTCGATATGCCATGACAGTAAGTGCTATGTTTTCATGTGCATTGGGTTTAGAAGCATTCATGAAAAGGGATCATCTACATCTGATGGGAAAAATGAATCCAAGTTCCATTGATTAGTGAGCAAAGGGCAAGCTGTTAAAACATATTGAAATTAAAACTTGACATGGCACACTTTAGTCAAAAGGCATGAGGGGGTTACAGATACAACAGCTAAAAGTGATTACTGTATAGGAGTCGGTGTCTCCTATCTGCAGACAGTTCAAATGTGCGGAGATGTGTGGGTATTTAAATAACTATATCTCAGTTATAACTATATTGGGCTATAGTTTGCAAAAACATTATATAAGATGAAACAGTACTGTATTATTTAAAAACAAGAGAGATTTGCTGTTCTTCACAAAGTTGCTTTAGTCACACAAAATATTTATCTAAAAAAAACCCTGAAAGTGAATAGGTGGAATTATATGAGCATTTTCAGGAGGTGGACTTGATAAGAGTTGGATCTTTTCCATCTCTAACTCCAATAATATTATTTTTAGGCAGCTAAGTTAGTAATGCAGTTATCATGGAAAATAGAGTCAATCGGAGCCTGGGGGTAGGGGAGTACGTGAAGCCTCCTCCCGCCCTGCCAGGAGCGTGCTGCACGCCCTCCTTTCAGGGCAGGGGTAGGACGGAGAAAACTTCATGCGCTTCCCCCCTGCCCTCAGGCACTATTTGGCCTGGGGGCAGGGCAGTGGCAGGGCCTCCATGGGCCGGATCAACCCGCTTGGCGGCCTGCGAAGGCCCTTTTGCCCACCCTTGCTTTTGAGAGTGCTGGGATAGACAGCTGCTGTATATGGGGTGCTGAATAAGCTATATTCTTATATCATGTATTCAACTATACTTTTACAATCAAAATAAGCTATGCCATTATATTAGAAAAGGTGGAATTATCTGAGATCATAAGCCAGGCCTGGGCAAAATATGGAATATTCACAATCACTTTAAATAGCTATTCAGTTATTGTTTTCTTCTTTTATCTTAAAAGGCTTTGCAAATTAATGAATTTACTGATCTGAAATTTTGCAATGATAGCACTAATACAAGTCCGACGGATATGAACTGCACACAACTTAGCCAACCGTAAGTATATGTTTTGCATTAAAATAAATCCCACTACAAGGCATCCACAAGATTTCAAGAGTTTTTTGAATGTTAGAGAATTGGAGGTGCATTCACTACCTACAGTAGGATTCTTTACAGTAATATTTCTTTAAGAATAAGAAAAAAGCATTTGGGTTTAGGGTTTGTTTATTTATTTATTTATTTGGCATTGTGTGTATTGCGATCACATGCTGCAAAGGCCATTTAAAAAAAAGAAACAGTAAAGGTATTGTAGTGCAGTAGAGCTTCGGAAGGGGCTCCTCCCCCTCTGGGTCAGTGGGCAACCACTCTGCCCCACTACACTCAGCTTAGTCTCTTCCGGGAATTAGCTGTGGTTTTTCAGCTCTGGGACAGTCCACAGTCTCAGATAGCCGTCAGTGGCAAACAGTTCTCCGGCCAACCCTGATTCAGGGCGGGGCAGCAGGCAAATAAACAGTTCAGAACCCAGGCCTTTATTCAGGGTGTCACAGCAAACAAACAGTTCTGAGCCCAGTCACTTATTCAGGGAGGGGCGGCAAACAAACAAATAAACAGTTCTCAAGTCCTAGTCGCTACAAATCCAGGTAGGCCCCCTTGCTCAGGCAGGGATCTGGCAGGTTCAGGTTGCTGTTCAGGAACAGCGGAGGGGGGAAACTGCCACCCAAGAGTTGGGTGGCAGGGGGGACACAGGCCCACCCACTCCACTGTGTTCCAGCCTAGGGCCCTAGTAGCAGCAGAGCAGTCTGCTGCTGGGTCAGTGGAGATTTGTACTGCAACACACTGACCTGGTTCTGGCCCAGCCAAACAGTGGTCGACTACCCCAGGGCTCTTTTCACACTCTGCCTCGGGCTGTACCTGGGCCCTGTAAAGGTCCTTAGGGCTCCATCGCTTTGGAACCTCTGGCCAGGTAAGCAGTCCTTCTAGGCAGTCACCCAGTTGTGGGCCCAGCGGCCTAGGCCAGTTTTTGGCTTCCCCTGGGTTCAGCTCCTCATTTGGGCACATAGGGTAGGCTTCCAGCTCCTTCTGCCATTGGGCCCTAACTGGCCTCTCTGGCCAGCCTTTTATATTCCTGGCCCCGTGTCATGGCTTCCGGTCAGGAGGGTTGCAGGGCCAGGTTCTGCCCTCCAATGCTCTGGGAGAAGCTTCTACCCCTCGGGGTCAGTGTGCGGCCATTCCACCCCACTACAGATATGCATTGCAGTATTGATAAGTCTTTGTGATTTTGCATTCATCATGTCTATTAAAAAAACCTACATAAAACAGCGTATCAGGCAACCTTGCAATATCTACTCACCCACTCACCTGGTAAGCTCACTGCTACTAAACTATTAATCATACTACGTGAAAAATGAAAGTACATATTGAAAAGAATAGGTTGGGTACTTATATAGTTCATCTCACACTCTTTAATGTAGTTATCCTCACAACAACATTGCTGGGGAAAGGATGTGCAGATTGGGGAGGCACAGTGGGTATGCTATGAGTGCAGGACTTGAAGACCTCTTGAGGCCCTTTCCAGTTCTAATAGTCTATTTTTACATTGCATCTGGAAACAAGGCTCTCAACAAGTGCATCTTGTGATAGCATGCTAAAATTAGTTGGGTACACATTTGCACCTTGGGTTCCTAAGCATAGGGCAGGAGGCTTGAAAGCCCCAAAGTGTCAAAGCAAGGTCTACATGACTACACGGCTAGTTTTAGAAGATTAGCGCAAGCCCTGTTAACACAAGTTTGTGGATCCAGATTAAAGGGCTCATTCGCAGATGGAGTGTAGACATATTCAGTGAGACTAAGGCCTAGTCTACAGTAGGAAATTAGGTCGGTATAACACTGTCACTTAGAGATGTGTGAAATCCACCATGAGTGAAGCAGTTAAACCAGCCTAGCCCTTGGTGTAGGCAGTTCTAGGTTGACACGAGAATTGATTTAGGTGCAGGATGTGGGGTACTTAAGCTGACAGGAAAACCTTCACTACTATAGTGTCTTCACTTAAACACTACCATAGTGCAGTCACATTCATGCCGTATTTTAAATGTAGACATGCCCTCAAGCAAATAAAAGGTCTATGGGTACGTCTACACTGCAAGCTTCTTTCAGAATAAGCTTTTCCGGAAGAGGTCTTCTGGAAAAGCTTATTTCGAAATAGCACATCCACACACAAAAAGCTCAATGAAATAGCAGTGTGCTATTTCGAAAGATAGTGTCCACACTGATTGGATTCTATCTCGTATTTAAGGCCTCCTGGAACCAGTTCAGGCAGGGCATTAGGTCAGCAGTTGCTTCCGGGTGCTGCTGCCTGAGGCTACCTGAGACGTGCTTAAAGGGCCCCCTTGGACAGCTGTTTCTCAGGTTCTTCTGCTTGCTTGCCTACCTCTCTGAGGGACAGAAAAGCATTCCTCTGTGTGCTCTGGTTTCCCTTCCTTTGGACACTGCAGTACTCCTTGGCATAGAGCTGGAGCTGCCTGTGGGCATGTGATGGCTGCACAGTTTCTGCAGGCTGTCTTCATGGTCCTGCATGAGCTCAACTCCAAGCTCATCTTTGAGAACCTCTGCCTGTGGGCAGGAGCAATGCTCTTGCAACTGCACCCTACAGTGGAGAGATGCTTCTGGAGGCTGGACACCAGTTCTGACTGGTGGGACTAGCTGGTGATGGAGCGGTGGGATGACCAGCAGGAGCTCCACAAGTTCCGAATGAGGAAGGAGACATTCATGGAGCTGTGTGCCTGGCTCACCCCTGCCCTCTGATAATGGGACACCCAGATGTGATCCACCATCCCCTTGGAGAAGCAGATCGCCACTACCGTCTGGAAGCTCGCAATACCAGACCGTTACTGGTCTTCCATGGGCAACCAGTTCAGCATGGGAAATTTGACTGTCAGGACCCTCCTCATGGAGGTAAGGCACTGTCGGGCTGCAGTCCCTGGAAGGGGGGGAAGTACTAGAAAAAGGGACCCTCGGAAAAGGGGGGGGTTGAGGTGCGGGGAGTCACCTGGGGTTGGGGGAGAAAGTCCCATCCATAGGGGGTTCTGCACTCCCAGCCTCACATAGCCTTGTGGGGAGGGGGGAGCAGGATGAAGGGCAAGCTTAATAGGGGCTGGCTGTTGGGGTTTTTTTGGGGGGAAGGGGAGGCTTGGGGACCTCCAAAGGGCTCAGGTACCCCCTTTGATTCTCTGTTTTGTTTCTTTGTTTGTCTCCTTCTGCAGGTGGTGAGGGCCATAGACACCATCCTGCTGCACAGGGTCATCCGCTTGGGAGACCTGGACCCCATCATGGCTGGATTTGCCACTCTGGGCTTCCTCAAATATGGGGGGGGTTATATATGGAACCCACATCCCCATCTGTGCCCCTGATCACCTGGCCACGCAGTATATAAACCACAGGGATACTTTTATATGGTCCTGCAGGCCTTGGTTGACCATCATGGACATTTCACAGACATTTTCATCAGCTGGTCAGGGAAGGTGCACAGCGCCCGCATATTCCACAACTCCAGATTCTACCAGAAGCTGGAGGCTGACACATTCTTCCCCAGTGCAACATCATGGTCGGGGATGTTGAGATGCCACTGTGCATTGCAGGGGACGCGGCCTACCCCTTCATGCCATGGCTAATGAAACCATATATTGGCCACCTGAACCAGATTCAATAGCTACCTGGGAAGGGCCCGCATGCAGTCTGAATACACCTTCGGGTACCTGAAGGTGAGGTTCAGGTGCCTCCTGACTTGCCTCGATGTGTGGGAGCACAACATCCCCCAGGTGATCTGTGTTCTGTTCACCACAACATTGTGGAGAGGAAGGGGGAGGCTTTTCATTTGGGCTGGAAGGGATGGGCTTTCGAGCAGCTGCACACAGCTGCCATCTTCCAGGCCCATCAGATGGGGGGTGCACATCCTGAGGGAAGGGTTTCTCTCAAGGACCCCAGTAACTCTCCCAAGGGCTTCCCTGCTAGGTGCCTGTGCCTTGCCCCTCTCTGCCTTTCCCACAACAACCCCTCCCTTCTCCCCCTACAACCTGCCTTCCCTGCAGACCAAATAAACAGGCATGTTTAGTTTTCAAAAACGTAACTTTGGTTTTATTTGAGATAAATGTAACTGGGGACGAAGGGGGTCTGAGACCCTAGATATGGGGAGGCGGGGTGAGAACCTTGGAGGGGGGAAGAGAGGCTCAGAGCTGGGGCTGAGACTGGCTTGTAATTTGGGTGCTCATTCTATTTCATGTCCAGGGACCTTGGCGACCTCGGGGATGGGGGGCTCCTGGGAGGATAGGGGGATAGGCAGGAGAGGGGGCTGGAGAGGGGTCAGGCATGGGAGGGGGGCTAGCAGCTGGAGCAGGGACTGGGACTGCGGCCGGGTACGCCATCATCTCCCAGACAGTTACACACGTGTTGCAGCCCTGCTGCAGCAGCTTGGTCCACATCCGGGCCCACCTCTGAGCGTCATCCTGGACCTTCTGGGCCAGCGTCTGCTGTATGTCCTGGAGGACAGACACATGCTCCCTCATGATGGTCTCCTGGACCTTCTGACACTTGCAGCTTCCCTGGGGTCGGTGGCTGGTCCGGCTGGAGAAACTGAAGAGAGGTGCTCAGACACTGTCTCTAGGCCTTGTCCTCATCTGTGAGCAGAGAACAACAGTTCTTGGGGCTGTGGACGGTGATGTCCCGGGAGAAGGGCCACACATACACCTGTGCCTGGCAGCACTGTCCCCGGGAGTGGGTGGTACCTCGAGCATGCAGTCATGCCTGTGTGTCGTGTGCGACACTCCAGAGTCTGTGTGCGTGCATGTGTATGTCCTTGTCCACTGCCTTCTTCCAGCAGTGGTGGGTGGTGGGAGGACATCCCCCCCACAGAGGTCAGAAGTGTGTCTGGCCCCCCCAGAGCTGTGAGCAGGAGTGCTCTGGTGCTGCTTCCTGGGGCAGCATGGTGCAGACTGGCACTGCAAGTGCATCCACGTGCATGGACTGCAGTGTGATGGCCAGGCTGAGAAGGCCGAGTGACGATCGCACCGCAGCCCCTCTGTGCCCGCCACCCCCGCCATGTGCATGTGAAAAACTAAGAGCGCTTACCTGATCATCCCTCCCTGGCCTTGGAGGATGCCTGGGAGACATCCAGGCCCTGGGGTACCGGCTCCAGGGTGATGGTGCTGGCCATTTCCTCCTCCTCTTCCAGCTCCTCCTCCTCCTTGAGGGCTGAGACCCCCAGGCAAGCGACGACGGGCATCTGCAGCCCTGAGTCCACCACCAGGGGTTGAGAAGGGGCTGCACCGCCCCCCAGGATGTGGTGCAGGTAATTATAATAGGGGCAGGAGTGGGGTCCTGCTGCAGAACGTGAGTTGCACTCCCTCACCCTAGCGTAAGCCTGCCAGAGCTCTTTGACTTTGCCTTTTCCGGCCCCTGGCAGGCTCCTAGGAGCCCTATGCATGTGCCCTAGAAAGGCCTGTGGAATCTTGAGGGGCTTGTGGCTGAGACATTGGTGCCCAGACATCAGGCACTGGCAGCCGTGTGGTGTCTGGAAGCTCCCAAGGCCAGCTTCTTGCCTGCGTCTGCAGCTTTAAGAGCTGCTGGGAGACAGGAACTAGAGAGTTGTGATGAGCAGGGCTCGACAAATAGTGTAATCTACTTGCCCGTAGCGAGTAGATTACACCTTGGAAGAGCCGGCGTGGAGCGATCTGCGCATGTGCAGAATGATCTGCACATGTGCAGAGCGCAGAACCGCGTGGCTGGCGAGCGGGGCTCGCCGCTGCTCGGCAAGCCCCGGTGATGAGTATGGATGGAGTGGCCAGCAGGGTACCTGTGTTATTTTCAGGAGGCCTCTTTTTTCAAAATAACTCCTTCTTCCACATCCACACACTTAAGACTTGGCTGTTGCAAAAATGCCTTCATTGTCATGTGGTATTCCAATTTAAGTAACAGATACCTAACAAAGAATTCACTTTTAAAAATCTATCTATATATTTGTTTGTAGGTTTTGTACTGGAGAAGAATATTTGAAAAACCAAGGAATTGAGGCAACTTCCTGGGGGCTGTGGCAGAATCATGTGGCTCTTGCATGTATGACAATAATTTTCCTTACAATTTCTTATCTGAAACTACGCTTCATGAAAAAGTTATCTTAAAACAAAGGTATAAATGAATTGGTCATTCACACTGGGTAGTTTTATAAGTAAGTAAGTTAGAAAACTGACTTGATTTTTTTGTTAATATTCTTTTGTATGTTTTATCTCTTGCCTCAAAATTTAACAAAGTTAAAAATCTTCACTGAAATGCACTGTCCTGAAGTTTAACGTATGTTTGAATTTACTTTATTGTCGTGAAACATACAAAAGGGTATTCATCTCTTCATTAGACCAGTTGAAAGGCATTTTTAAAGTATATGCTATTTGTTAAAATACAGAACAAGTATGAAATAGTAATACTTAATGACTCCATCCACAAAGAAAAGGTTCCATGGTTGCAAATCATTGAAGATATTCTTAATTTTGCACATCCAGAGTGATCCTCTGATAGTGGTGCTGAACTATTTTTAGAGTGAGGGATCTGAGCTGTGCCACTCCCCATCACCTGTTGCCACCCCTCATTGTTCCAGGCTAGAGTCACACCCAGGGTTGCCAGCTCTCCCAGACCTGATGGACTGGATGCCATTGCCACAAATGGCATCCAATTCATCCAGTCTGGGATAGCTGGCAACCAAGCCACAGCTAGAGGCAGTTGCAGAGCCTTGGGCTGGCAGTGGGTCCTGAGTGGCAACAGAGCCTGCAGGACTGGCAGCCTGGGCCCTTGGGATGGCAGGAGGCATAACCCATGGGAGTACTGAAGCTAGTGGGGCCACAGAGCCCTGGAGGGGCTGCCCAGAGGCTGGGACATCTGGGTGAATGGGAAAGCTGGGTTCAAAACCTGGAGATGCTGCAGCACCACTGGCGTGTGTACGGGGTATGCCATGTGTGCCCAGGCATACCCTATTGTCTTAGGGTTGCCTGGTGTCCGGTTTTCTACTGGACATTCCGTTTTTTTGGGGCTCTGTCTGGTAAAAAAAAATCCAGAAAATACCGGACATGTGCAATGTCCTGTATTTTCTGATTTTTGGACTGGGCACACGAAAACCTGGCAGGGAGAGTAGCTGGGAGGCAGGACGTGATCAGCGCTGGGAGCCCTGGTTGCATGTGAGGAAGAGGGGCAACCCAGTCCGTGCTCCTGCACACTGGTCAAGTGTGTGGTGGAGCTGCAGCTGGACTGAATCGCGCTTCGCCTGGACCATGCGGGGAATGGGAGCGCCCTGGGATCTGCACCGCCCCGGTCTGTCCCGCTCCCCACCAGCTCTTATGCTCCTTCTCCCCTTACCCTCTCCTGGCCAGCCAGTTGTTTCTCCCTCACTTCTCCTCCCGATCTTCCCCAGCCCGCCCTGCT